AACTCCAGCCTGGGCAACAGAGTGAGACTTGCCTAAAAAAAAAAAGGAAAAGAAAAAGAAAAAAAGAAAGAGAGAGAGGGAGGGAGGGAGGGAGGGAGGGGGGAGGGAAGGAAGGAAGGAAGGAAGGAAGGGAGGGAGGGAGGGAGGGAGGGAGGGAGGGAGGGAGGAATCCTGTCATTCTCAGCAACATGGATGGAACTAAGGACATTATTTTAAGTGAAATAAGCTAGGAACAGGAAGTTAAACACCACATGTTCTCACTCATACACAGAAGCTAAAAAAAAGTTGATCTCATAGGAGTAAAAAGTACAATAGAGGCTACTAGAGGCTGGGAGAGATAACAGGAAGGGAAGGATAGGAAAAGATTTGTTAAAGAATACAAAATTATAGCTAGATAGGAGAAAAAAGTTCTAGTGTTCTATACCACTTCAGGATGACTATAGTTAACAATAATATATAGTTTCAAACAGCTGAGGAGTATTTCAACCTTCCCAATACAAATAAATAATACATATTGGAGATGATGAATATGCTAATTACCCTAATCTAATCACATCGTACATATTGAAATATCCATTATGTATCCCATCAACAGGTACAATTATTTTCAATTAAAAAAAAATAAATTGGCCAGGGCAGTGGCTCACAAATGTAATCCCAGCAATTTGGGAAGCCAAGGCAGGCAGATCACTTGAGGTCAGGAGTTTGAGAGCAACCTGGCCAACATGGTGAAACCCCATCTCTACTAAAAATACAAAAATTAGCCAGCCTTAGTGGTGGGCACCTGTAGTCCCAGCTACTCGGGAGGATGAGACAGGAGAGTCACTTGAACCTGGGAAGCAAAGGTTGCAGTGAGCCGAGATCACGCCACTGCACTCCAGCCTGGGTGACAGAGTGAGACTTCATCTCGAAAATAAGTAAATAAATAAATATACAATCAAACAAACAAAACCTTTTTTTTTTTTTTTTTGAGACAGAGTCTGGCTCTGTCACCAGGCTGGAGTGCGGTGGCGCGATCTTGGCTCACTGCAACCTCTGCCTCCCTGGTTCAAGCGATTCTCTTGCCTCAGCCTCCCGAGTAGCTGGGACTACAGGCACGCACCAGCGTGCCCAGCTAATGTTTGTATTTTTAGTAGAGACAGGGTTTCACCGTGTTAGCCAGGATGTTCTCAATCTCCTGACCTCATGATCCTCCCACCTGGGCCTCCCAAAGTGCTGGGATTACAGGCTTCGTGAACCACCACACCCGGCCAAAAAGAAAAAAAAACGTTTAAAAATAAAAAATCTATTGAAAAAATTCTTTGGTCTTGTGCCTAATTTAAGGATATGTGATAATTAGCTAGTTGTTTTAATATGACACATAGTAAAGAATTTTGGTAAGCAAAAAACAGTTTTTATGTTCATTAAGAACTACCAAGTAGGATTTGAAAGTTTGTGTTTCTTTTTCTCTAGACAGTGTCTCCCTGACACCCAGGCTGGAGTACAGAGGGGCAATCATGAGTCACTGCAGCCTCAACCTACCAGGCTCAAGCAATCCTCCCACCTAGCTTCCCAAGTAGCTGGGACTACAGATGAGTACCACCACAATGGCTAAAGTTTTATTTTTGTAGAAGCGGTGTCTCCCTACGTTGCGCAGGCTGGTACCAAACTCCTGGACTCAAGTGATCCTCCTGCGACAGCCTCCGAAAGTGCTGGGATTATAGGCATGAACTAATGTGCTCTGCCCCAACTGCAATGCTTTATCTAGATAAATCTACATGCTTCTCCTATGAACATATTTTATTTAAGGATAATTTTTTTCAATTAACTGATGAGAACATATTTCCTTGAATGGATACCACAGCACAGATTCCTAATCTACATTCAAATACTCAGTTTACCGGTTGCCAGAAAGATCCTACAGTAGAAACTCTGGTTGGATATGGTTGTAATAGCTCAAAATTTGCATATGAGTCCTCACGCAAAGATTATTTATTTGAAAGCAGACTCTTTGGTTAATAGCTCTGGGCTTCCATTACAAGTCAAGGGAATCAATTAACTTAAAAAAAGGAGTGGGATGGGCTTGGTGGCTCACACCTGTAATCCTAGCACTTTGGGAGCCCAAGATGGGAGGATCAATTGAGGCTAGAGTTGGAGACCAGCCTGGTCAACACAGTGAGACCCCATTTTTACAAAAATAAATTTTTTAAGTAAAAAAAAAAAAAAAATCAAATAAAAAAAAAAGAAGTATGCCTTAATTTAAAAATATATATATAAATATTTTGGATACCTTTTTAATATTTTAAATTCTCAACTACAAAACAAACTTCTTGAGGGCCTAGACATGAATGGTATCTACACAGGGGCCTCTCTGTTATTCACAGTGCCTGAAAGTAATAATAAATCAATTCAATATATTCATCATGTGTTTTGCATCAGTTGACTTGTCAAACCTAGCACTGTTAATTTCAAAGCTCAAAATTAAGTGCTATATCATAGGCCTAGAAGAGTAAACAAATAATTTAGGTTTTAATTTACTTTGTACATTTATCATTCCAAATAATCTGGTAAGATTTTCCAATCAGCTACCCACATAAAGGCTTTTAAACTTAAATGAAGAAACTGTTGTTTGGTGAAAACCTTTAATGGAATTGGTATAGTTCTCAAGGTTTTCAATGTTAAACCTTCATAACCTGATCCTGATCTGCTCAAAGAGAATACATCCTGAATTATAAATAGCACAATAATGGAGTCAGTCCATGAAAATAGCTTATAGTCAACTACTTATTATCTAGGTAATAGGAAGTAAAACCCCAAAATTAAATCCAGAGGAAACATAAAAACCTTAGTTAGGCTCCTGATTTCTATTTCTTCCTCAAATGTCTTTTATTAGGGCTACTGGTAGGAATAGAATTGATGAATTTCAGCTACTTGGGAGGCTGAGGCAGGAGAATCACTTGAACCCGGGGGGTAGAGGTTGCAGTGAGCCGAGATCGCACCACTGCACTCCAGCCTGGGCGACAGAGTGAGACTCCATCTCAAAAAAAAAAAAAAGAATTGATGAATTTGATTCTTACTTTTTTTCAGAAGCATAAAAATACCAAACTTTACTCAGATGAACTTTTTTATACAGTATATAGATGTTAGATGGACATTCTTCTTAAATACCACCACTTACCACTAAATTGTACTTGCTTTACAATTTATTGTTTTTCAAAGCCCTTTCATTTCCATCTCATAGATAAATGCCCAGCATTGAGTCCTTACTATACTTGCTAACAAACAACTACTGTTTGGCATAGAAACCACAGGAGAATTTATGGCCCAAAAGTGAGTTATTTATCAAATATAGGAGAATGTTTAATTCTGGAAACAAAGAAGCAAAATGTCATCAGAAGGGAATGCAGAAGAGAAGGATAAGATGAGGTTTATCTTTATGTTCTAAATTTCATCTGTTAGGCTGGGTAGTGGTCCCAGATGATTCTTTATGTTTTTCTTTATACCTTTTTCTATTTATGAAACATTTCGATTTTTTTTTTTTTTTTTTTTTTTGAGAAGGAGTCTCGCTTTGTCGCCCAGGCTGGAGTGCAGTGGCCAGATCTCAGCTCACTGCAAGCTCCCCCTCCCGCGTTTACGCCATTCTCCTGCCTCAGCCTCCCGAATAGCTGGGACTACAGGTGCTCGCCACCTCGCCCGGCTAGTTTTTTGTATTTTTTTAGTAGAGATGGGGGTTTCACCGTGTTAGCCAGGATGGTCTCGATCTCCTGACCTCGTGATCCGCCCGTCTCGGCCTCCCAAAGTGCTGGGATTACAGGCTTGAGCCACCGTGCCCGGCCAACATTTCATTTTTTTAAGTGAGTTAATGAATTGATAAAGACACAGCCCTAGTGATCAAGGTAAAGTGAGTCAAGTCCTGACTTCAGTTCTGAAAATCTGTTGCTGAATGACTCACTTTGTGATCCATGTGCCTCAGTGTCAGTAACACATGAAAAATACTGCTGAAGATATTTCATCTAGGAAGTTCTCAGGTGAAAATACTACCCTTAGAAACAAAATTTCATTACATTACGAAACATTTGGGAGTGTTACCTGTGTTTCCACACTTTATGCATTTTTTAAAAGTCACCAACATTTTTTGTTTCTGAAAAAACAAAAAACACAGCCTAGGACTGAACATGTTTTCTGCTTCTCCATAAATCCAAGTGAAGGTATAAATCTTATTTAAATATTATAATGTCCAGAAATGATTCACAGGCTTTCCCTAGTTTTGTTTATATTTAATCAACCCTTTAATGAACATCCGCTTAAAACTGTTTTTCCCAATTTATGATTGTCATCCTATATAAAACCCTACAAGATTAGGAAAATGAGCTTGCAGTGACAAGTGACTACCATTGCACATAGAAGATTTGAAATTCTGAGCTATACTCACAATCAGCTTGGTCTCTAGCTATCCCTTAGGCAGTAACATTTCAAATGTACCAACTTCAGAAAAGTTTATATCAAAGCATTGACTTAAGAGAAACGGAAACACTAGCGCAATGGAAAATGCCTGAGACTTATTAGGAAAATGTATAACCAAGTCTAAAAACTTAATTCTTAAAAGTGGTTCTGTCTATAGAAGTTAACAGTTCTATTTTCCAAGTTTTGTAAAATACTAGCAAAATATCTTTGAATTCTAAATACATTTCTGTAGCATTTATCTTTAGTAATGGCAAGAAATTAACAGACAATTCCTTAGCAATATAATATAAAAAACTTCAAAGAGATCAAGTAAAACAAAACTGTGAGTGATAAATTAATAAACTAAATTTTTTAAGGTTTTAAGTTTTAAAAAACCTAATTTTTTTAAGTTTCTCGCCATGTTCTGCATGACTTCATTCATTCTTCACAAACATAAACATTTCAAAGTTGGGATCATCAACATTCTCGTGTTTAACTTCGCATAAATACTCAAGTTCACCTGTAAATCTGCCTTGCTTCTGTCAAGATTTTCTGTTTCTCTGCCTTCTATTACTCACCAACTGCATCTGGATTTACCGGTCTGGAGACATCGGCTTGCCCCATGATTATATTGTCTGATGTATCTCACGACAACAAACTGTCCTGGACAAAAGCAAACTTTTCATAAAAGATAAATCCACATAAAGAGGGGACATGCGATCCTCTTTCAGTGTCACTGCCAAACATCAGGAAATGGCATAAGGTCAGTTCATCTGCTGAAGTTTCTGTTTCCCATACAGCCTGGGCACTTACAGTTCTTACAAAACTCTCTTCACACTGGCTCTCTTCACCCAGGAATGCCTGTCATTCCAGAATGCACACTGTGTAGAGCTGAAGTGCAGGAAGGGGAGGAGACTGCCAACCACATTCTAGCTGCTGACTGGCATAGCCCAAAAGTCCACACCCCCTGTTCCTGACTTTTGAGCTTGGCTGGAACTCTCCAGGCTCTGAGTCATAGAAGAAAGGGAGCCTGCTCAAGAGTACACCAAAGAATTTACAAATTTAATCACACAAAAACATCAGGATGGTTATGAGTAAAAGGCTAATGGGAGCAGTAATCCATTCAAAGGTGTGTTTTAGACACAGGTTTACCTCAAAAGTATCAGATTTCACTGTGTTACGGACTGAATGTTTGTGTCCCCTTACAATTTATATATGGAAATTCTGACGCCCAGTGTGATGGTATAGGAAGTGGGTTCTTTGAGAGATAATTAGGTCATTGAGGGTAAAGCCCTTGCTAATAGGATTAGTACTTTATCAAAAAGGACCCAGACAGCTCTCCCTTTCCATCATGTGAGGCTATGCAAGACGACAACTGTCTGGAAACCAGGAAGAAGGCCCTCACAGATACCCAGTCTCCTGGTACCTTGACCTTGGACTTCCCAGTATCCAGAACTGTTAGAAATAAATGTCTGTGGCTGGGCCTGGTGACTCATGCCTGTAATCCCAGCACTTTGGGAGGCCAAGGCTGAAGGATTATTTAAGCCCAAGAGCTTGAGATCAGCATGGGTAACATAATGAGACTCTGACTCTAAAAAATTTTAAAATTAGCCAGGCATGGTGGCGTGTGCCAGCAGCCCCCAGCTACTGGAGGGAGGGGAGGTGAGGTGGGAGAATTGCTTGAGCCCAGAGGTGAGTTGTGAGCTGTGATTACACCGCTGCACTCCAGCCTAGGCAACAATGCAAGACCCTGCCTCAAAAATAAACAAATAAAAATAAATAAATGTTTGTTTAAGCCCCCCCAGTCTACAGTATTCTGTTATAGTAGCCTGAACAGACTAAGACATGCTACTTATTCTAAAATTTTATTTCCTACCTATAGGTGGGCATGCCCAAAGCAAGGTGAGATCTATGTACTGGGAATTAATAACATTAGAAACAATATTTTAGGACTGAATATATCTTTTCTGAGAATACGGACAACTATTTCTGAAAATCTGCTTACTAAAACAATAAACTTGAAATAAATATTTGGAAGGCATTATATAATAGTCTCTTCCTGCTAAAAATCAATAATCTCCATATGATCTTGGGGAATAAGAAATTACAAAGAGTAGCCCTACATGCTGGGCATAATACATAGAAATATCACCTAATCACATGCAGCAAATGAATGTCCAATTTGCACATTGATTTTTCCTTTTTTATCCATAACTAACTTACATACAGCCAAGTACATAAATATTAAGGATACAGCTTGATAAATTTTTATTTAGTATAGTAACACCAAATTTTCTAAATGTTAAAAAGACACACATAACACAACCTTAACATAACCTCCACATAACCTGGATTATTCCACTAACATCTGAAGGTAAAAGAGGAAGCTAACAATTTTGAGTAATATATTAAGGAGTTTTACACTGGTTACTGCATTTAATCATCACAACTAACCATGCATTGTGAGGTATATTTATTTACCCTATTTTCAGATAAGAAAACTAGGGCTAGTAAGGTCAAATCCTGTGTCTTATATCACCAAGCTAGTAAGTACCAAAGCGCTAATATTCCTTCAATAAAAGACAGCAACCACTGGGTGGAGTGGCGTGCACCTGTAGTCTCAGCGACTGAGACTGAGGCTGAGGTGGGAGGATCACTTGACCCCATGAGTCTGAGTCCAGCCTTGGCAACATAGTGAGCCCTGTCTCTAAAAAAAAAAATTAAAACAATTTTTTTTTTTTTGAGATGGAGTCTCGCTCTGTCGCCCAGGCTGGAGTGCAGTGGCCGGATCTCAGTTCACTGCAAGCTCCGCCTCCCGGGTTCGGGCCATTCTCCCGTCTCAGCCTCCTGAGTAGCTGGGACTACAGGCGCCCGCCACCTCGCCCGGCCAGTTTTTTGTATTTTTTAGTAGAGACGGGGTTTCACCGTGTTAGCCAGGATGGTCTCGATCTCCTGACCTAGTGATCCACCCGTCTTGGCCTCCCAAAGTGCTGGGATTACAGGCTTGAGCCACCGTGCCCGGCCAAAACAATTTTTTAAAAAAGACAGCTACCAAAAAAAAAAAAGGGAGTTTTTCATTTAAATCTTTAGTCTCCAAACTGAGATCCCAGAAGATTTCTAGCATCTGAACTTTCCCGTATTTAGCCTGTCCTTGGTACATTCTCTTCTCTATTATCTTAGCCCCATTATCTGTTTTTGATAGAGAAAAAAACAGCAAAGGTAACAAAAAAGAAAACCTCAATGCTAAGGCATCAGTGAGGGAAAAAAGTGCAGAAACATTCAGACAACATTAAATTGTTAATATTGGTAGTAATTAGAAAAACATTATGATGTTGACCATTAAAACAGGAAAGAAAGTAAAAGGAAAAATGCACTGAAAGCACAATTCAATTTAATAATGCCCAATACTTTGGAACCTAGGTACTTATACTTATTAGCATAAAAGCAGACCATAGCAAGAGCAGTTTCCATTGTTGTAAAATGGGAATGCAAAAAGTGGCAAATGCATTGCTTGGCACTCAGGAGGTGCTCAACATATTGTAATTAACAACATCATTATCACCATCATCATCATCATCATGGAGCCAATATGGTATATTACTTATGAGCATGAACTTTGCAGTCAGACTGAAATTTTAATTCCAGCTCTACCACTTATTAAGTGTTAACTCAAGACAAGTTACTTCACCTCTCTAAGTCTCAGTTTTCTAGTATTATAAAACTACACAACAACAATTACTAGCACAAGGCTGAAAGTGGTGGCTCATGCTTGTAATCCCAGCACTTTAGGAGGTCAAGGCAGGCAGGTCACCTGAGGTCAAGGCAGGCAGGTCACCTGTTGACCAGCCTGGCCAACATGGTGAAACCCCGGTTCTACTAAAAATACAAAAATTAGCTGGGAGTGGTAGCACATGCCTGTAATCCCAGATAGGAGGCTGAGGCATGAGAATCGCTTGAACTCAGGAGGCAGAGGTTGCAGTGAGCCACGATCATGCCACTGCACTCCAGCCTGGGCAACAGAGCGAGACCCTGTCTCAAAGAAAAAAAAAAAATTACTAGTACAGGGAATTTGTAAGGATTAAATGACATGAACAGAAATGAAGTGCTTTGTAATGTTCCTGGGACCTGAAAACCTCTCAATAAATGCAAATCAAGAAAGGAGAGGCCAGGTCAAGAGTATGACTCCAGAGAGCAAGTTGGAAGAAGCAGGCCAGAGAGAAAGTCTGAACACAACCAGTTGCTGTATAGAAACATTAAGCAAATGGAAGGACCCAGATATAAGCATTACCTTGAATATTTGGGTAAGTTCAAACCCGGCACATTGAACATGCACACACACACACAGCCCAGAAACAGTACCTTCTAATCTATGTAGACATGACCATACAAGAGTATAACAAGATAGATTTATGGATCTAGGTAGAGCTGCTAAAACCATCTGCCAAATTTAAATGCCAAAATAAAAACCACCTGCCAAATGTAAAAGGCCAGGCACAGTGGCTCATTCCTGTAATCCCAGCATTTGGAGAGGTGAAGGTAGGAGGATCCCTCGAGCCTAGGAGTTTGAGACTAGCCTGTGCAATAAAGTAAGGCCCTGTCTCTAATAAATAAAATAAAATAAAATAAAAGCCAAATCTTGTCATGGCTCACTGCTGATTCTACAATATTGTGAGAGTAGCAATAAAACTTCAAGAATGAAAAGGGCTGGGCACAGTGGCTCATGCCTGTAATCCCAGCACTTTGGAAGGCCAGGGTAGGCGGATCACAAGGTCAGGAGATTGAGAACATCTTGGCCAACATGGTGAAACCCCATCTCTACTAAAAATACAAAAATTAGACGGGCATGGTGGTGCGCGCCTGTAGTCCCAGCTACTCAGGAGGCTGAGGCAGGAGAATCACTTGAACCTGGGAGACAGAGGTTGCAGTGAGCCAAGATAGCGCTACTGGCTACTGCATTCTAGCCTGGGCGACAAGAGTGAAACTCCATCTCGAAGAAAAAAAAAAGAATGAAAGGATTCTTAGTGATCATTTGGCTCAATTTCAATCTCCTACTTATTGCAGAAGGAGGAAACTGAGGTTCAAAGAGGTTAAATGCCTTGCTCAGAGCAAGAACTAAAATCCAGGTATCCTTATTCTGACTCCCAGACTCACTGAAGCTCTTGTATAAATGGCCAAGAATTTTTAAGCTCCAAAAGAAATATTCATTTTCCAAGGAAGTCCACACTCTACAACTAATCTCTCAGAAATGCTAAGTCTAGGCGGGGCACAGTGGCTCACGCCTGTAATCCCACCACTTTGGGACGCTGAGCTGGGCAGATCATGAGATGAGGAGTTTGAGATGAGCCTGACGAACATGGTGAAACCCCGTCTCTACTAAAAATACAAATATTAGCTAGGCGTGGTGGCGGGCACCTGCAATCCCAGCTACACAGGAGGCTGAGGCAGGAGAATGGCTTGAATTCAGGAAGCAGAGGTTGCAGTAAGCCAAGATTGCACCACTGCACTCTAGCCTGGGTAACAGAGCAAGACTCTGTCTCAAAAAAATAAAATAAAAAACAAAATAAAGAGAAATGCTAAGTCTAGGCCCAGTGCAGTGGCTTGCTCCTGTAATCCTAGCACTCTCAAAGGCCGAGGCAGGAGGATCACCTGAGGTCAGGAGTTCGAGACCAGCCTGGCCAACATGGTAAAACCCCGTCTCCACTAAAAATACAAAAATTAGCCGGGCATGGTGGCTGGCGCCTATAGTACCAGCTATACAGGAGGCTGAGGCAGGAGAATCGATTGAACCTGGGAGGCGGAGGTTGCAGTGAGCTGAGATCGTGCCAATGCACTCCAGCCTGGGTAACAGGGAGAGACTGTCTCAAAATAAGAAAGAAAAGAAAAGAAAAGAAGAAAGAAATGCTAAGTCTGTTGCCTATGTGCCAAGACACTACATGCTCCCTGACAATCATGTTTAATTTTTCTTCTAACAATCAGTATTTACTCTGTGCTAATTGGTAAGCAGACAAGCAGAAATGTAGGACGATACTGGCACACCAATGACATTAAAATTAACAATAAAGCCTTGAGTTCATTTTAGTCTTCTATGCATTATGGTTTTTTTGGTTTTTTTTTTTTTTTTTTTTAGATGGAGTCTTGCTCAGTCACCCAGGCTGGAGTGCAGTGGCGCGATCTCGGCTCACTGCAAGCTCCGCCTCCCAGGTTCACGCCATTCTCCTGCCTCAGGCTCCCGAGTAGCTGGGACTACAGGCACCCGCCACTACGCTCGGCTAATTTTTTTATTTTTATTTTTTGTATTTTTAGTAGAGACGAGGTTTCACCGTGTTAGCCAGGATGGTCTCGATCTCCTGACCTCGTGATTCTGCCCGTCTCAGCCTCCCAAAGCACTGGGATTACAGGCGTGAGCCACCGTGCCCGGTCGCATTATGTTTTAGAAATTTAAAAGGAAGTCTCACTTTAACTTTATAAG